TCATTGGCATTAATATTTCTTGAATTTGTGTTTGTTCCTTTTTTGATTTTCAATAAAATTTTTTAAGAAAAAGCCGGTTCCATTGCTGTCTTAATGTATCGCATGCTAACTGAGAGCAATATCGATTTTTGCAAATTAACGGCGGTAAGAGAACATCGGAGAAACTGAGACCTGCAGGGGTATTCGGGTACTTTGCTATGTATAATAATTGCGTGGAAGTGTTCTGCCATGTCATCGGACAGCTGCGAACTTCCCGATGGCTGTTCTGGGGGAACCAGCAACAGATCCCGGCGGGCAGTGTGTTTGTTTTTGCACTGTTCGGTAAAGGACGGATCCGATGTGGATCTGTGGTAATCGTGGTTGAAAGTCTTGGTCAGGGGGGATGGAAAACAAAGTTTCGGGCAACATAAAGTTGCTTAATTCGGGATACATTGCTGAAGAAGATGGTCGAGTTCTTATTCTGTGTTGGATTTATGAAAACTGTGGTTTTCCCACTGAACATTGTGTACTGAATGAGGTGTCTTTTTTCTAGCGTGGGAGCTAGTTTCGCTGAGTTGAATTCTCGATGTGCCCTTAAAAAAGCAGTATGCCACCGAAGAAGAAAGGCGGCGATGCGGAGGAGCGGCCACCGCTTATGGGTCGAATTGGGACCAATTTAAAGGTTTCTTTTTCCTGTAGTCTTGTTTTTTGCTATGCAAAAATTGGCTGAGTACGCCGGTGTATGTTGTTCTGAAGATCCTTCTTCCGCTTCCACATGGTATGTCTATGCAAACAAGGGAGCATCCATCGTTTTCGGTTTCCTTTGCATCTTCCTTCCTCCAAAGGCAATTTCGTAGCAACGAGAACATTGATTGTCACAACCGAGATTCAGAGTATCCAAGATATCGGTAGGGCAATTATAACTGAACCCGACTTCGCCAATGTTCCTTTGTTCTTCTACAGCTCCGATCTGGGTCGTTTTTCCATCCCCCCAGGTTACGATATGTTTGGTCCTTCACCATGTTCCTCATATGCCGAAAATTCGGATGATGCTTTATTCAGTTTTCTGGGGAAAATGATGTTCAGTTTAATAGCGACAAACAGTCGGTATATCTAAACCATTCCTTTGTGAAAGTCATTGACCCACTGAATTTCAGCAGCCTGATAGCCTTTGTCCCAGTTTAAAAGTCGGACCGAAGACCGTACAGGGTTTTTTTATTTTTTTCGTCTGTGTTTTCTCTTATGATACGTTGTATCGTGCCTCAAGAAAGTAATCGATTGTTTAAACTCGTGCGTACGTGGAATAGGCGATGGGTAATAACCGGAAATGAGAGGCCTAAAATCAACGGGCCTGACAGTGCGGCGGCACTGCGCCTGTAGGAGCATCCTCTTAGCAACACAGCACTGTTTAATAGATCTTGGTAATCGTGACAAGCAGACTGCAGCATCGAGGTTGACCGCGGAAGTGCAGATGGCAAAGATGCGAAGGAATTCAGGAGGAAAGAAATAGTGTAGGAGAGAACTAAAGAGCAAGATAAGACCTTTCGGTCCATTAAGTCGTATACGTCTTAACTCAACAGTGCGACTGGACCTCGTCAGTATGATGGTCGCAGTGCTTAAAGAGGAGGAAAAAAAGCAAAAGGAAAACCGAAAGTGAGAGGAAACAGAAATTGTAACATTATAAAGTGTGAAAGAGATGAGAAGAGGGGCCAAGAAGTGAAGTATAAACACTGGGATAGAATGGACTAAGGGAGTCGCGAATGAAGTAATGTATAAAAATAATTTTATATGTGTAAAAAAAAGAAATAAGAAGCAAAAGGAATTTTGGCAAACCTTGACTGCGGAAGTTTTATGGCTGGAACTGTCGTCGTAAGCGTTTTTGCTTCACGCAGCAGCAGCTATGTCTGGAATAAGCAATAAGCGGATATGTAAGCCAAGAGAAAAAGCGAATCGAGAACGCAACACGGAAAGCATAAGAAACCGGAAAAGCGGGGATTTTGCGCTATAATTTTTCGAAAGTTGCGGGATTTTATTATGAGTTTTCTTTTTAGATGGGCATTTTGGGCGTGCCGAACGTTGGTAAAAGCACGTTTTTCAATGTACTAACGAAAAGT